AGTACCAGGGCCGCAAAYGGAAYGACRACTGTACTGCGGACCAGATGGTACAAGGTTTCTCGTGCCATGCCGGACTTGTAAACTATAATGTTCCAAACTGCGGGTTGCCGAATTTCCTTACGAGTGGTCTCGAAAGCAGACAGGATTGTGGCGACACAGCTATACCTGTGTTGAACCAGGTATCCTCGGAAACAGTCCAAATACCGAGGCTGAGGTGGCTCCGCCTCGGCCAGGATATCGATTAAAGAGCCGTACCATTCCAAGTCGGGGTCTACAGCCCGACTACAATAGCCTGTCCCATAGCGGTGCTGAGCCCGTTTCACCCTAGTGTACCGCTCCTGTCCCAACTCAGCACTATATCGAACCAATGTGGAAGACCATACCGTGCCGATTCCGAACCTGTGCCGAACCCGGAACATGTCGAGTATCGAGTCAATATCGAGCCCGAAGCGCGCCAAGTATCGTAGAACACCACAGCCGGATAATAGCACCAAACCTGTTACTTGTCAATGTTGAATAAATACCGGGCCTGAAAATAATCGTCGTGCTAGTACCGTACCAAAAAAAAACTGTCGTATCCACGCCCCTGAAGTAAATCACCGTGACGACGCCGAACCTGTAACAGACTGCCGTAGCGGCTCCGAACCTGACAATAAATCACCATGGTGTCCCCGAACGTGAGTTAACCCGCTGTAGGGATCCCGGACCTGGAAATATATCGYCGTAGCCACCCTGAACCAGAAACACATCGTATACCATAGGTCGTGGCCACCTCGTAACAATACTGAACCCCGCTGATCCACATATCCRTGTCGAGCCAAATACCATATTGTCGCCCCAAGGCAGCACCATCCCACGCCGTCCATGCGACTCCCACTCTCAGAATATCCCAAGTGCGGTAATGTTAGTAATCAAGCAAACCAGGGAAAGCGACGCAGGGAATCTCGACCATCGACAGTAKTGAAAACTRTTAGAATCCAGAGAAAATGATCAATCCGGGGTCAGAGCTGATGGCGGGGAATCGAGGCRAAATTAGGCCAATCTCCCAATAGTCATGGGTTCCCATCCCTCTCATCGTCTTTAATCATTCTTCCTTTTYCTTAATTCWATTGTCRAAAATAGTAAATYAACCWTAAATTCCCCAAAATTAAATTCCGAGAAAGTTTATATAAATGGCCGAATCCCTTTTGTTTTTTTTCTCTTTTACCATTTTTAATATTTTTCTATGTTTTTAATTTCATTGCCGGGAACATAAAATAACAARGGTKTTCCCCCTAGAATTAAATGCCGTGAAAAATAAAGAAATTAAGGGATATTATGTTTTTCTCTTCTCCCTTACAGGTCTTAATCCCTTTTCCCCATCTTTAGTTATGGTACTAAAATAGACAAAAATTTGAGGCCTCATTTCGGCCCCGGTCGTATGCTGCAAAAACGTTGCGGCGAGGTCAGTCCCCGCGATGCCTCTCCGCGACAGGCCAATCCGGGTCTAACCCTCTGAACGGCCGGAAATRACRGTCCCTAGATRTGYCGAGTGCGGCCACCCATCTCGCCGTCTTTGAGGGTTACTCGTAAGGTTCAGTGCGCCCAAAATCAGGGGTGCCCTAAGTTCCCCTAATTTCTGTTGCCTAGTCAAACCAGAGTACCGTCAAAACACGTACTTGTCCTTGAGCCTGAGTCCCAAAGCTGCAAATTTCAGGTGGAGCACTGCTTGTGGCCGCCTGACAGTTAGCCCAGACCACTTCTCGACGCCCCCATCGAGCCCTATCCACTTTCGTCAAACGAAGCGGACGAGCTTTTGGGTGATTGCCCGTAAAGGACGCCCACGTCGGCGTTTAATTGTCTCATGTCTCAGTTTGTTATGAGTTTTGGGGCTAAGAAGATGTTTCTTGACTTTCTTTTTCCTTCGGGATCTTGGCCTTGGTAGGATCCTCTTTTTCTTCTGACGTTGGCCCGAGAGAGGTGCCGACCCGCCAGTTTGTCTAATGTGAACTCTCCATCTGACCCTCTTGAGCACGAGTAACCATTTCTTCACTCTTCCTAATGCCAACCCTTTGACCTTTCTTTTCTCCACCCTTTTCCTCTTCTTGGAACTTTCCTCTGCCTCGAATCGTCTCGAGGGGGCTCCATCCTCCATTTTGACCTTCTCTTTCCCTTTCGGGCCTGTCAGCGATAAGGTGGGTGCTGGCCTGGGTCTAAACAACTTTAATCTAGCACCCGCCACTGGGTCCTTCCACTTGGATCTGTCCAATTCTGCTATCATATAGGCACCCTGGTCGAGCGCCTCAACCACTCTGTAAGGTCCCATCCATCTGTTGGCTAGTTTCCGGTCCAGATCCTTTCCAGTGCTGCGTCGTAGAGAAGGACCATATCTACTACGCTCACCCTCTCTTTCCTGATCCGCACACCCTTATCCCATCTCTTTTTTCCTTTGTCCCTCTCCACTGCCAGACGATCTGCGACTATCATAAGGTTGTCTTCCAAACCGTAGGCTATCTGTCTTGTTCGGGTAGCTATGAGTTCCTCTCTGGATATCCTTTCCGCCCAGTCGACGGTTGTCCAGCTGTCGACGTGGAACTCTATAGGGAGAGGACAATGTCGTCCGAACCACAAGGTGTATGGTGGGTACCCAGTGCTAGCCCGGACCGTGACGTTGTCCGCCCATATTGCGTATCGAAAATATCGTGGCCAATCGATGTCCTGACCTTTGCACCACTTGGATAGTGACGCTATCAGAGTCTGGTGTCCCCTCTCTACAAGGGAGTTCGAATGTGGGTGGTAGGCGGTGGCTATCGAAACTCTCGCCCCAGCTCTCTTGAACACACTCTGAACCTCGTCAGCTAGAAATTCCGCCCCTCTGTCCATCACTATCTTGCTGACACAACCATACCTAGATAAGTACTCTAGGACGAAGTTCTTCACTTCCCTTGCCGTATTACTCCTGATAGGTCTATTGTCCACGAACCCAGTGAAGTCGTCTCGTATATTCACAACGTAATCCGTTTTCCCTATCTTTAATTATGGTACTAAAATAGACAAAAATTTGAGGCCTCATTTCGGGCCCGGTCGTATACTGCAAAAACGTTGCGGCGAGATCAGTCCCCGCGATGCCTCTCTGCAGGCCAATCCGGGTCTAACCCTCTGAACGGTCGGAAATGACGGTCACTAGATGTGCCGAATGCGGCCACCCATCTCGCCATCTTTGAGGGTTACTCGTAAGGTTTAGTGCGCCCAAAATCAGGGGTGCCCTGAGTTCCCCTAATTTCCGCTGCCTGGTCAAACCAGAGTACCGTCAAAACACGGACTTGTCCTTGAGCCTAAGTCCCAAAGCCGCAAATTTCAGGCAGCGCACTACTTGTGGCCGCCTGACACCGGTACCCCCCACCGCTAGCCGTTACTGGCTGGACCGCAAGAAGAGAAGGACCGTGCGTGAACCGGGAATGCGTACAGAAAAAGAAAATCGCTCCGCGGCTGAAACCCCAGGGCGACTCTTGAATTCAAGGCACCTCGAGGAGGTTACTTTAACTCCAGTTCACAGCCCGTCAGGGGTGCGGTTTATGCCCTTGATAACATTTTTCGTCGTCGTTCGTTATATGGTCGTTGGAAGGCTGGAAAAACATGGCATGGCATTTTAGGGGGTGGTGGCATCTTATTTGAAACTGCAGGACCGGTAGCTGCCCGTGGGACCGTACGGGTTTTGGTCCAGGACCGTGTAGGACCTGTAGCTGCGCGTAGGAGGCCGAGGAGGCCGCAATCCTTTTTCGAAATTGAAAAGGTGCGGGTCCACTTTTCTCGAATAGCAGAGTTCTTCGAATAGAAAAAGTACACGTTGTATTCGAATACAACGTGTACCCTTTCTATTCGGATTTCGAAAAGAAAAAACTCTTATATTCCGATAAAATTACTTCTTTTTGTTGGAGGTCAGTGCCTGCCCTTGTGCTCCCC